GTTCTTTCGGTAAAGTCACGTAGAATGGAAATATTATATTATTTCCATTCTACGTGACTTTACCGAAAAAACCAAGAAGATGAATCCCCTGCAGTCACGAAAGCTTTAAATCGAAATATTATTTCCATTCTACGTGACTTTACCGAAAGAACCAAGAAGATGAATCCCCTGCAGTCACGAAAGCTTTAAATCGAAATATTATCTCCATTCTACGTGACTTTACCGAAAGAACCAAGAAGATTAATCCCTGCAGTCACGAAAGCTTTAAATCGAAATATTATTTCCATTCTACGTGTCTTTACCGAAAGAACCAAGAAGATTAATCCCTGCAGTCACGAAAGCTTTAAATCGAAAGTACACGTTAATTAAGTATGGCACGTGCTTTTGTCTTCATGCACTATACATGAACGCGTGTGCCTGCCGCGTGCAGCTGTTGCATGTCCCTGCGGTGTAGTGCTTCAACGTTTACTGTGAACTCCGGAGACCCGAGTTCAAGTCCTGATCACAGCGAGATAACGTCGGTGCAATGTCACAGCATGTCCTGGGCCTTCCCCGCCCCCCCACCCCCCTAGGTCAACTCAGCCTTAGATTAGTCGTCCTGTGCCTTGCGCGATGTGTAAACATCGACGGTGGAGAGACAAAGGCGGCACGGAGTGCTGCTTGTCACGCCACTTATGACCTTAATAGGCGCTCGCTAACAGCGCTTCCCGCAACGGACTGCGAGGCTAAATTCGGGATCTTTAGCCATTGCAATCAGGATTTAACACCTCCAAAAATGTCATTGTAAATCTTCTCGAGTGCGTTTTTGTTTAATAGTCTTCGTGTTATTTTTTATTCCTATGCAAAAAAGGAGAGATCTCCTATAGTAGTAGGTTTTTACCCTTTCAACTGGTACAAAAACTGGCATCTTTATACAAGGTATCATGTTTGCAATAATCACAACACAAGCAGTCAAAATGCACCACTATCTCTCACCCTGCACTATCATTATCATCATCAGAGTTGTTTCTTTTCGTTTGCATTTTGACTGCTTGTGTTGTGGTTATTGCAAACATGATGCCTTGTATAAAGGTGTCAGTTTTTGTACCAGTTGAAAGGGTAAAAACCTACTACTAGATTTTGCCACTGGTAAAGGAGATGTCTCATAGTGATACATCCCCTACTGTGTTCACGTTTAACTAGCCGGCCGAGTCTAAATTGTGGTGAGTAATCGCACGAACGAGTGAGTGCGCGTCCGTGCGTGCGTGGAGCGTACGTGAGAGAGATGGCGTGAGAAAGAACGCGGTGGGAGAAATACAGCAGTGAGAGAGACAGCGGAGAGAGAGAGACAGCGAGACACAGAAACAGCATGGTAGAGACAGCAGAGAGAGATAGCATGGTAGAGACAGCAGTGACAGAGAGACCGCAGGGTGAGAGAGACAGCAGTGACAGAGAGACCGCAGGGCGAGAGACGTGGTGAGAGAGACAGCGGAGAGAGACAGCGGAGAGAGAGAGACAGCGAGACACAGAAACAGCATGGTAGAGACAGCAGAGAGAGATAGCATGGTAGAGACAGCAGTGACAGAGAGACCGCAGGGTGAGAGAGACAGCAGTGACAGAGAGACCGCAGGGCGAGAGACGTGGTGAGAGAGACAGCAGAGAGAGACAGCGGAGAGAGAGAGACAGCGAGACACAGAGAGACAGCATGGCAGAGACAGCAGAGAGAGAGACAGCATGCAGAGACAGCAGTGACAGAGAGACCGCAGGGTGAGAGACAGTGGTGAGAGAGACAGCGGAGAGAGAGACAGCGGAGAGAGAGAGAGACAGCGAGACACAGAGACAGCATGGCAGAGACAGCAGAGAGAGACAGCATGGCAGAGACAGCAGTGACAGAGAGACCGCAGGGTGAGAGACAGTGGTGAGAGAGACAGCGGAGAGAGAGACAGCGGAGAGAGAGAGAGACAGCGAGACACAGAGACAGCATGGCAGAGACAGCAGAGAGAGACAGCATGGCAGAGACAGCAGTGACAGAGAGACCGCAGGGTGAGAGACAGTGGTGAGAGAGACAGCGGAGAGAGAGACAGCGGAGAGAGAGAGAGACAGCGAGACAGAGAGACAGCATGGCAGAGACAGCAGAGAGAGACAACATGCAGAGACAGCAGTGACAGAGAGACCGCAGGGTGAGAGACAGTGGTGAGAGAGACAGCGGAGAGAGAGACAGCGGAGAAAGAGAGAGAGAGACAGCGAGACACAGAGACAGCATGGCAGAGACAGCAGAGAGAGACAGCATGCAGAGACAGCAGTGACAGAGAGACCGCAGGGTGAGAGACAGTGGTGAGAGAGACAGCGGAGAGAGAGACAGCGGAGAGAGAGAGAGAGAGACAGCGAGACACAGAGACAGCATGGCAGAGACAGCAGAGAGAGAGACAGCATGCAGAGACAGCAGTGACAGAGAGACCGCAGGGTGAGAGACAGTGGTGAGAGAGACAGCGGAGAGAGAGACAGCGGAGAGAGAGAGAGAGAGAGACAGCGAGACACAGAGACAGCATGGCAGAGACAGCAGAGAGAGAGACAGCATGCAGAGACAGCAGTGACAGAGAGACCGCAGGGTGAGAGACAGTGGTGAGAGAGACAGCGGAGAGAGAGACAGCGGAGAGAGAGAGAGAGAGACAGCGAGACACAGAGACAGCATGGCAGAGACAGCAGAGAGAGAGACAGCATGCAGAGACAGCAGTGACAGAGAGACCGCAGGGTGAGAGACAGTGGTGAGAGAGACAGCGGAGAGAGAGACAGCGGAGAGAGAGAGAGAGAGAGACAGCGAGACACAGAGACAGCATGGCAGAGACAGCAGAGAGAGAGACAGCATGCAGAGACAGCAGTGACAGAGAGACCGCAGGGTGAGAGACAGTGGTGAGAGAGACAGCGGAGAGAGAGACAGCGGAGAGAAAGAGAGAGAGACAGCGAGACACAGAGACAGCATGGCAGAGACAGCAGAGAGAGAGACAGCATGCAGAGACAGCAGTGACAGAGAGACCGCAGGGTGAGAGACAGTGGTGAGAGAGACAGCGGAGAGAGAGACAGCGGAGAGAAAGAGAGAGAGACAGCGAGACACAGAGACAGCATGGCAGAGACAGCAGAGAGAGAGACAGCATGCAGAGACAGCAGTGACAGAGAGACCGCAGGGTGAGAGACAGTGGTGAGAGAGACAGCGGAGAGAGAGACAGCGGAGAGAGAGAGAGAGAGAGACAGCGAGACACAGAGACAGCATGGCAGAGACAGCAGAGAGAGAGACAGCATGCAGAGACAGCAGTGACAGAGAGACCGCAGGGTGAGAGACAGTGGTGAGAGAGACAGCGGAGAGAGAGACAGCGGAGAGAGAGAGAGAGAGAGACAGCGAGACACAGAGACAGCATGGCAGAGACAGCAGAGAGAGAGACAGCATGCAGAGACAGCAGTGACAGAGAGACCGCAGGGTGAGAGACAGTGGTGAGAGAGACAGCGGAGAGAGAGACAGCGGAGAGAGAGAGAGAGAGACAGCGAGACACAGAGACAGCATGGCAGAGACAGCAGAGAGAGAGACAGCATGCAGAGACAGCAGTGACAGAGAGACCGCAGGGTGAGAGATAGCGGTGAGAGAGACAGCGGAGAGAGAGACAGCGAGACACAGAGAGACAGCATGGCAGAGACAGCAGAGAGAGAGACAGCATGCAGAGACAGCAGTGACAGAGAGACCGCAGGGTGAGAGACAGTGGTGAGAGAGACAGCGGAGAGAGAGACAGCGGAGAGAGAGAGAGAGCGAGACACAGAGACAGCATGCAGAGACAGCAGTGACAGAGAGACCGCAGGGTGAGAGACAGTGGTGAGAGAGACAGCGGAGAGAGAGACAGCGGAGAGAGAGAGAGAGCGAGACACAGAGACAGCATGCAGAGACAGCAGTGACAGAGAGACCGCAGGGCGAGAGACAGTGGTGAGAGAGACAGCGGAGAGAGAGACAGCGGAGAGAGAGACAGCGGAGACAGAGAGACAGCATGGTAGAGACAGCAGAGAGAGACAGCATGGCAGAGACAGCAGTGACAGAGAGACCGCAGGGTGAGAAACAGCGGTGAGAGAGTTCTCTCTCTCTCGCTGGCTTGCATCTTTGATATCGGCAGCACCGCCTACGCATTGGCGAAGACAAAAAAAAAACAACGCCACACCGGGGGCTTTGGCTGTGACGAGCCAGGACGGCAGCAATGATCTCTGATCCGTGTTTTCTGATTTTTCCAACCACCGCCGTCATTAGTCGGCGGTCGACCGAGTAATACGGGAACCTAGCGGGAGCCGTGTGGCGGTGACGGTGGATGGTGTTGGGGGTGGGGGGTGTGTGGGGGGTGTGTGGCGGAAGGGGGCTGCGACAGAGACTGAGCGGTTGAAACGCGAGATAGATAAAGGCGGCACGTAACGGGACAGTGATTCATCTGCAGAGGCGACGGCATCAGCAGCAGCAGCAGCATCGCTCGCTCGCTCCGCAGTCGCACAAGAACGACGCTTCTCTCTCCCAGAGTCGCCACCGATCGGAATCGTTGCGAGCGCAAAAAACCATCAACGCGCGCGCACACGCACCGCTGCAGAAACACCCGCACAGACCGCGCGGGTGCGCGCGCGCGTGCGTGCGTGCGTGCCTGCATCGCGTTTGCCGTAATTATCCATCTCATCCTTGCGCCGTGGTTATTTTATTTATTTCAACCGTGCCGAGCCAACTTCGCGGCGCTTCCAAAAACAACGCCGTAATCCTTCGAGTGGTTGGGGGGGGGGGGAGAGCTGCTGCTGCTGCTGCTGCTGCTACTGGTGGTGGTGGTGCCGCTGGTGGTGCCGATCGAGACGGGTATCGGCGCAGCGAGCCATGGGGCTTTTTTGTGCGTGGCAATGTCGCCCTCTCCGTGGGTTCCGGCGACCGCTGCTGCCATCGTCGTCGCAGTCCTCTCTGCTCCTTCTCACCGCTCTGCTGCTGCTGCTGCTGTGCCCCCAACCTGCCCGGGCAGCCACAGGGAAGCGCGCCCTCTACATCGGAGGCCTCTTCCCCATGAGCGGCGGCTGGCCAGGAGGGCAGGCGTGCGACCCGGCAGCCCACATGGCCCTGGACGACGTCAACAAGCGTTCGGACATTCTGCCGGAGAATGAGCTGAAAATCATCCACACCAACAGCATGGTGAGTCCGTGCGTGCGCGTTCGCGTGCGCGCGCGTTCGCGTGCGTGCGCGTGCGTGCGCGCGTTCGCGTGCGTGCGCGTGCGTGCGTGCGTGTGCGGCGAAACGCGCCGCACTGCCAACCCGGCGACCCCGGTTCGATTCACGCTCACGGTCAACGCCGGTGACGATTAATTATCTGAACCGGTCCTGGACCTCCCCTAGGTCGACTCAGCCTCAAAATGATTTCCTGGTGCGGTGTGTAAACATCGCCGCTCGGGGAGACAAAGGCGGCCGGGCGTGGTGCTGGTCTTGCTGATGATTTTTGAAAGGGATGAAGGTGACACGTAGGTTCTGACAATTGCATTGCTGCTCTCCCACGAGATGAGGTCTCACCTTGTTCGATGGCAAGTAGGTGAGTGAGAGACGGTGAGCGAGTCGGTGAGCGTGACGGTGATTGAGTGACGAAATGATTAGGTGAGTTAGTGAGTGGCTTAAGTGAGTGGGTGGGTGAGACGGTGAGTGAGTGGATGATTGATTGAGAAGGTGCGTGGCGTGCGTTGCTCACAAAACGACGCAACGATAAAATGATGGAAAAAATATATTTTAAAAAACACGCAGTATCTCATTTCGTGTGGTCGCTCGTGGCGTGTGCGCTCCACGTTAATTAAAGCGCCCGCCGCATTTATTGGGGCCCCGCAAATGGTGAATAGGAACGGCGGGTTATTGATTGACGTTCTCGCCGCCCGCGCGCGTGTGAGAGAGAGTTTCTTGAAATGCCTTATCTCGTTTTGCAGGAAAATCCGTCTTTAAAAAAAAAAAATTTTGGAAAATTTCCACCGCATTTTTTTTTGGCGGGGGGTGGAGGGGGTGGTGGAGAGGGGCTGGTGGGGGAGGCGGGGATCGATTTGTGAAATACATTGCTGATATGGGTAAAAGCGCAGCCCTGCAGTTTCTCGCTATCGCCACCGCTGCCGCTCTACTCGAGCGAGCTTATGGAGAGCCCCCTCTAGGGGAAGGGTGTTTTGGCCTACTCTTCCACGCTGGCCACACAAACTGGGAAGAGGTGGGAGTCACCCCACACTTTTACCCCACCGCGCATGAACCTGCCTGCCGATCAGCTGTCGCCGACCCATTTATACTGCTGCTGGGCAGACGGACGGATTTAAGAAACGTCCGCATCGTTTAACCTGCCACGCCAGGAGACGGAACCGGCAAACCCCCGGATTTGTGCTGGTCTTTATGCCGCGGCAGTAACTGTATCGAAATTCACCGGTAATTCAAGCTCGTTTTTTGGGATTTGAACTTGCACCGACGCAGTGGCACACAACGGCGAGGTTGCATACACTGCTGTTGTTGTTTGAGTCTTTACAACAGGGGGACACCGCTTTGAATATGTCATCTATGGTTGTACGTGTATGTACACCAGTGACTAATATCTCAACCGGTCCTGGGCCTCCCCTAGGTCGACTCAGCCTGAAATAAGCATCGCCACTGGGGAGACAAAGGCGGTTGGACGTGGTGCTGGCCACCCACCTCCTCGTGGGCCGTATCGGCCTTCATAGGTGCTCGCTAACAGCACTTGCCTCAAAAGTCTGTTAAGGCTATACGGGAGATCTTTGTCTTTATCGCTTGTATGTTTGGCACAGTAGGGGGGGCACAGCTGGTGCATCTGCCAATCATCTCTGTCATGGCCCCTGGGTCTGTCCCGTGACCACCTGCCAAGAGCGAGCCTTCGACACTTCACGTGACCTCAAAGTGCACCTGACCTGGCACAGGCTCTCGCGGTGACATCGGACGACGCTTAGTGACGAATGGCGGGTGTCGTTGTGCGTTCTTTCGCACCGTACGTAACCCCAACCGAGCAGCGACGACAGGGAAGGTGTGAACCCGGCGGCGTACGAGCACGAACCTGAAGCGTCACCACCTTCATCGCCGACGTCGCCTTTGTAATCGAGAATTATAGAGCAGCGTGAGGTTTTGGGTCAAGGGGGGACCCATTGTGTGTAGTTTGATTGAATGTGCTAAGGAACACTACAGCTGCAATTACGACACTGTTTAAACGCTGTCTCGTCCAATCGCGCTCGCGCATATCGTAGTGCGGGTACGTCCTCACAGAAAGGGTTACCGAGATAAAGGCGCAATTTATTGCCGCTTCGAGCTCCTGCTGGCGGAAGGGCCTGCGCTGGATAGGGGTGGGTTCCAGTGAGCCAGCCCCTAAGAGGAGTGTATTTGGCCTACTCTTCTACTGCTGGTCAGATGTCCCTGGAACAGTTGGGAATTCCCCACGCGGTTATCATATTCAGTGGGCGCTGCTAGGAGATGTTCCGCTGGTATATACAGCGATGACGCTCGCACCTGTGTAAACTAAACTAAACTTTTTATTCTACAAAGTAAACTATACAGCTCTTGTTAAAGTGACCTAGCTATCACAAATGACAGCTTAACAAAGTAGCTTAGCACGTGGACATTCATAGCAACGTGATGTTGTTTCTGAATGTGGAGGGGAAAACCGGAGGACCCAGAGAAAAATCCAGGCGTCGTCAGGGTCAGGATCGAACGCACGACCTCCTGTATACCGGGCGGCGGAGTTAACATCTCCTAGCAACCGCGGGTACCCTGTCCGCTCCATTCCTCCTGGGCGTTGCGCCGGGTGGCCTGGAGCGTTCCGAACGAAGCCGCAGCCGCCGTGTTAATTGGGGCCTTGGTAACAAAGAAAAGTTGCCTGGGCTTAAAACTAATTAGCGTTGCTAAACGACCGCTGATCAAGTGCTCGCGCACGGCGGGCGATGCGGGGCATTTTTTGCGTCTCTCTCTCTCTCTTGCCGTGCGAGTCGGGAGTAATTGACGTAGCCTCAGAGTAGCCTTGGCGCAGGGCGGGGGGGGCATCATCACTTGCTCGCCGCTCGGCCGATTTGCGCGGACCCCGATGGTTGATGCGTGTAGGGCACAGGGATGGAGATGATGTAGCCCTAATTATTGCTCGCTCCGTACCAGAGGTCGCAAACGGGTTTTGATTCCTTACCCGTACCCGTACCCGGCCGCACCAGGGTCGCAAACGGGTACCCGTACCCGGCCGTACCCGTACGGGTAGGGTACGGGTATCTGATTGCGACCTCTGGGACGAAGCCATGTTGCAGGCGCGGGTGGGTTGATTCTAGGAACTTGAATTGTGAGAAGAGACAAGACGTTGGGAAATGAGTGACAAACGGTTACTCACCAGTGACTCACGGTCTACCCGTACCCGGCCGCACCAGGGTCGCAAACGGGTATCGGGTAGGGTACGGGTATCGGGTACCCGGTTGCGACCTCTGCTCATTACCTCTGCTGGCAAAAGATGACTCCGACTCCAGGCAGCTCTACGTAGCCCTCTCCTCCCTAGGGAACAGTTTAGGCCGCGTGAGCACCCACCCTTTACCCCACCCACGTGCGCGGGGTGCACAGAGGCCATGGAGGAGGGGATGGGGAGGCGGGTGGTGGTGGCGGGGGGGATTTAAGAAGCTTGCTCTGTTGATTCAACGGCCGAGCCTGCAGGAGATGGAATTGAACCGGCGACCTCTGGATTGGTGTGCGCTGGCCCTTTCTGCTGCTGACATTCGGAGATGCTCGGTGAATCCTGCAGGGAATTCTGTAAGGAATGTGTGCCATCGACTGTGGGGGGGAGGTAGGCGTTTAAAGAGCCCGTGACGTCATTTGGGGGAGCAAGGGCCATGTGTGTGCCCGTGTCATAACTCAAAATGTTGAAGCTGCAATTTCCATTGGTCTCGTTTAATTTAATTTCGCGTGTCTAAAAAAAACGGTGGCCCTGCGGGCAGAAGCGCGGACGCTTCGCGATGGGAAGGTTGCGGGTTCAAATCCTGGCTGTGGGGGGGGGCTGACTCAACCCATCATCACGATGGGGTCGATAAAATTGGTACCACTTTTTGTGTTTAGTTTGTTGTCCTTCCCCCGCACACCTCTGATTTAGCATGGTTGGCTAAATCAAAGGTGCGGAAGAAAGGAGTTCAACATACTTACAAACACAATTGTTGTTCGATGGATACTCGTCCTGCCAAAAGAATGTGGAATTTCCACCACTGGCTCTGCGGGGCTGCAAAATGGAGATGATGGGCACCAATGCCTCATTGCCCGTTTGAGCCGGAGGAAATCATTTAGCGTTTTTGTTTTTTTTTACGAATAAACGCATGGGCACCCTTGCAAAAGTTATAATTCATTTTGCAAGGTTCTCACCTGATTGCATTAAGGATACCCGATTTTAGTGTTTTTGGATATACGTTTGCCTATATGCGTACAAACAATTCACAGCTTTGCTGGCGTACGTAAAAAAAAATGACATCTAAACCTTTTAACAACAAAATAACCCCCACCCCCGCCCCCCACTTATAAATGCGCAGACATTGTTGTGTTATTTTTTAGGATCTTACGGGCAAAAATCGAGGTATTTGCCATCGCAATTTGCTTAATCCCGACGTTCAGATAATCCTCGGGGGGATTTGAAGTAATCTGTGAGGTGCTAGGCATTTTTGGCAGTCTCCCCGGTTGAGTTAGGGCTCGCAGGAGAGTTACGTCACAATCTGGCTCCCTTTACCGGAGCCGGGCATTTCATTCCCGAAAACCCCCAGGCCAATCCACTGCAGTGGAGCTGTTTTTTTTTTTCTCTTCGAGATTTTAAAATGCCTGATAATTGAAGCTAAGAGAAAAAAAATAAAAAAAACATGTAGGCCGACCTCGATCCGTAAAAAATAATCTCGGAGACTCAGAGCACACGCACGCACGCCTGCACACACACGCACACACGCACGCACGCACAAGTGCCCGCCCGCTCGCGCATTTGAAATATTTGTGATTGCCTCCTAGTGAGTGCATGGCAGGTGACTTTAAAAAAAAAGTAATTAGGTTTTGATTTTTTTTCCTCTTCCCAATTTTATTCCATTTCTTCTCTCTGGGCATCGTGCCGCGAGATGATGTCACCGTTCTGAACTCTCGCAGAGTCGCATGCGTCACCCCCGTGTATTCGAGACCAG